TCGCTGTGTGTGTGGGGTGGGGGGTCTCTGTGTGCTACATGTGGGGGTCTCTGTGTGCTGCATGTCGGGGGGTTACTCTGTGCTGCATGTCGGGGGGTGTCTCTGTGGGCTGTATGATGGGGGCAGACCCGCCCATAAATAGGGTCCAGGAAGCCCCCACTTACCACCAGGCTAAGTTAAGGTGACACATTTTTTTAAAAATAAAATCCGGGGACATTTTTAAATGTCCCCGGGAACATAAAATAAAACTTTTTTTTTCTAATACTACTCACCTGATTCCTGGATCCAACAAGGTGCATCCCTAGTGTTTTCCCACTCCAGCCATTTTGTGTCTGCTTCCCTCTGCCTAACTGTATTCTTTGTGCGTCAGCCTAACTTTCTCTAGTGTTATTTAGTTCTGTTACCTTTCCAGTGTATACTGCACCTTGCAAGGTATTTACCCATCTACTTCTGAGCTCCAATCTTTCCTTATAGCTTTGTTCTATACTTACTTCTATCACACAATCCCTGTTTGTATTTGCCTCTTGGATCTGCTCTATGTATTTAACCTTACACTTGTATTGCACCCTCCATGTGGCATTTACCTTTTTGACCTGCACTTCATTTTTAACTTTCTGTTATCCTGTACCTCTTTGTATGCACCTGTAATTCACATCGCTTGTATATTTTTGTACTTTATAACCTTGTGCTTCTAAGTGTACCTCTAGCTACTCACCTTTCCCATTTGTCACTGTCTCCTGTGTCTTTGTGTGGTTCCCTCTACAGTTTATCCTTTGCTGTGCATTTTGCACCTTTGCTTTATGTCTTTTTCTTGTCTGTCTATGTTTCTATCTTCCTCCTCTTGGTTTCAGGGTTCACCCCTCCCTTTCTCTGTATCTAGCCCTTTAGTCTGTGTGGGTGCGCTACAGGGCCTCAAACGGGAAGGTGTCCGGTCGCAGAATCATCCTCACTATTAAAAGCTCTGTAGAAGACCCGGCCCTTCTTAGATCCTGCACCTCTAGTGCATCCCCAATAATGCACAGACTTTTAGTTTCTGAGTTCCCTGTGTCCTACATTCCAGATACCCCTCCTGTCTGTGACTCCAACCTGCTCCGCAAGTCCACAGACCATGACAGTAGTATTCTGGAAGGGGTTTTGGCTTGTATATTTCTCCTACCATAATGTGGCTAAAAATCCTGTATCATAAATTGAACTTTTGTCGTAATCTGCAAGTATGCACATAGAAAATAAAAGGGAACAGTGCGCCACCACCGTGTGTAAAATCGTTATTATAATAAATTCCAGTCTTATACCCCACTCTCAGGGAAAGCAAGCTATGATTCTGATGAAGGGGGCTTGCCCCTGAAACGCGTTAATCTTGGCTGACTGCGGTTGGTGGACGGTGATGTGACCCGAGGCTACCGTGTTACATAGTCGGGGAGATACCATGTTGGGTTAACAGACAGTGTGGCCTCTCGTTTGTTGTTAAAGCCTGATGAAAATGTTTGTTTGTGAGTACCTTTATCCCGTGTTTTATTTATTGTAATAAACGATTTTACACACGGAGGTGGCGCTCTGTTCCCTTTTGTTTTCGTATGTTCGTGGTGTATGTTCTTTTGTATGTTCGTGGTGGAAGCCCCAGGGCCTTGGATGAGCAGCCCCTCAAGTCTGTGTGAAAAACTGTGATAAACTGTTGAAAACTTTGAGTGTGCAACAGCAAGTGGATTGTTCAGCTGGCAGCCATTAGCGCCAAGAGCTAAAGAAAACTTTTTGCAA